ACCCTTAAATAGCCAGGTGTTGTAAAGGAGATCAAGAGTGCATTCTGGCCGGGCTTTAATCCCAGCACTTGGGAGGCAGAGGCAGGCGGATCTCTGTGAGTTCCAGGACAGGCACCAAAACTACACAGAGAAATCCTGTCTCAAAAAACCCAACCAAACAAAACAAAAACAAAACAAAACAAAACAAAACACAAGTGCATTCTGTCTCTGGTGTGTTGACACAAGCCAGACAAATCTGTTGTTCTTTCCAGCGCTTGCATATCTGTACCCGCCAGGAGAAAGACACCGTGCATTTATTTAAAGTTTCATTTGAGGAATCACTGTCACAGGGGAAGGATTAGCTAGAAAAACACCGAAAACCCTAAGGAACACAAGAAAAGCAGGTGTGAAAACCAACCCGAGGGCTGAGAGAACACACAGGCTCCCCACCCCCACCCCGGGGTTGAGGCCTGGACCTGTGCAGACGTGACTCACTGAATGGCCGGGGAGCTGCTGTGGGGCCTCACGGAGAAACATCTGGAACTCTGCGCCTGAACATGCCATGCACAGTTGTTTGTGGGGCCTTGTCCCGACCCCAGAGGGGTGGGCTATAAACAGCGCTGGGGTGAAAGGATTCCCCTGTTCAGGCCGTGCTGCCCTGGTGTGTCGTCACTGCGGGAGGAAGCTGCTGCCACGGAACTGACCTGAGCACCCCCCGGCTACACCTACTCTCCTGGTGGAACTATGAGTGTCTTGATGGCCTCACTAAAGCACCAGCTTTGGGAAAGTTCTTCTGGAGGAGCTCATGGGTGTTTCACGTTAAGCTCGCCCTCTAGTGGTGAGGAAGGCTAATCACCTGCATCCCAGCCAGCGAGGGCCCTGAAGGGGTCGGGTGGACCTTCAGGAGAACCCACGCACCCAGAGCAGACACCTGAGATGGCCATAGCCATGTCAGGGGTGGGAGGAGGGAAGACAGAAGGTGTGGGGCTGGAGCCTGCTCCAGGGAAGGCCTCCAAGAGTCACTCAACCCAGGAAGGACCGTCATGATTATTAGTGAACTCCCAGAAACTTCTAATCGGATTGAGACATAGAAACCGAAGTTCAGTGCAAGATAGTGTGTGCCAAGTCTATATATATAATAATATATTTATATATTGAATCATTATTACATATTAAATTATATATAATTATATAAATATATATCGAATCATTAGTATATATTAAATATAATAATATATTTATTTCTTGATCACTAATTAATTCCACTAACAAGTGTTGGGATATGCTAAGTCAGTGCTGGGGGCAAACGGTCCGGTGTGGTACACAGTAGGAGTGGGAACTGTTACGTGTCTGTCAGAAGGGTGAGGGCGCACCCGGTCTGCCTCCGTCAGCTTTCCCACAGCGCGACAAATGCCCGAGGCAAATCAACTTTAGAAGAAGGGAGGGTTTGTTTTGGTTCAGAGTTTCGGGGATGACCCATGTTGCTCTGGACAGTGGCAGCATGGTGTGTCAAGGTGGGGACATGCTGTTTACCTCCAGGCATCCGGGAAGCAAAAGAGAGGAAGAGCAGGGGCCAGGGTCTTACATCTCCTTCAGGGGCATACCTCTCATGGCTTAAGACCTCCCAGAGAAGTCTACCTTCTCTGTGTAGCCCTGGCTGTCCTGGAACTCGCTCTGTACCAGGCTGGCCTCGATCTGAGATCTGCCTGCCTCTGCCTCACAAGTGCTAGGAATGAAGGTGTGCACCGCCTCCACCCTCTTTAAAAATTTTAATTATCTCTTAAGAAATGAAGCCTCCCTTTCAATGCCGCTCTCCTCAGGAGACAGGGCTCTGGAGTTGGCTTGTCAATGGCTAGCTCCAGGACACTCACCTTGTGGCCAGTTTTAGAGCCCAGCCGTTGGCTCTCAGGGGTCAGCGGCAGCCCTATCCAGGGCCACTCACAAAGGCGGGAAAGATGACAGGCATTGAAGTGGCTTGTCAGTGATTCTTGTGGTGATTTATTAGGGACTGTGAAAACTTAACTGCAGAGCTAAGAGGCACTGCTGGGCGAGACAAAGCTGTTCTCCCACCCCATGCCTGCCTCCCACTGCCGTTACTGTCGTTTTGAAAATGCAGTTGTTGGAGACAGGCTCTTGCGCGACTCCCAGCCTTGGGTGGAGCCTTCTGTCTGGTGGTGGGCTTCCCTGGGGTCTTGGTTCAGATTGGAAAGTCTTTGGACTTATGAGGCAAGAGCCACCATCTCCAAAAGGCACAGAATGGATGGCTGATTTCCCTCTGGAGCTCTTAAGGCCTGAATTCTGACCTGCCTGTTTGTCCTTGTTGAAGTAAGAATACTTTTTTTTTTTTTTCATTTTTACCACAGCATTCCACAGAAGAACTGAAAATATTATTGAAAACAAAAATAGCATTCGAGACAGGACCTAGGACAGGCAAGGCGGGGTGGAGGAGGAGAGGCACGTGGTTCCTTAACTCCTGTACGTGTGCAGTGCGTGGCACACTCTGGAAGCTGAGATGGCCGTCTCGTGGGGTCACAGAGGGGCTGAGGTGGCATGTTTTCCACGAGATCTGCCTCTGGGCAGTTGGGGAAGGCAGAGCCCGTTCAAGGTCTGTTCAGAAAGGGAGCTCTCCTCTCTGTCAGTCAGCTGGAAGTTTTGTTTTTATAGTCTCAATGTTTTCCATTTTTGTTTCCACTTAAGTTATTGATGGCTTAAATATTTATGCCCTGCCAGACTATAATAAGCAAAAGAAAGAAAACCACTCACAAGCATGGTTACTAAAATCCTGTGGTCTCTCAGGCTTTTCCTTCAAGTATGTATGTGTGTGTATGTATGTATGTATGTATGTATGTATATAAATTATTATTATTTATGTGCATTGATGTTTTGCTTGAATATATGTCTATGTGAAGGTGTCAGATCCCTGGAACCGGAGTCACAGACAGGTGTGAGCTGCCATGTGGAAGCTGGGAATTGAACCTGGGTCCTCTGGAAGAGCAGCCTGTGTTTTTAACCCCTGGGCCATCTCTACAGCTCCTTCCTTCAGTTCTTCTTTTGACAAGTTCAGGGGGCTTTGTGGATGAGCAGGCAGATGTGATAGGGGCTGTACCCCTGGTTCGGATCTCCTGGGAGGAGCAGTCAGTGCGATGTTTCAGCGGGTAAAAGTCCTTGAAGGCTGGACCTGAGTGCTACCTCAGAGACAGACACACACGGCAGAGCGAGTGAACCAACTTCTGAGACATTCTCTGACCTCCATATGCAAACCACACCTGCACAGACACACACACACACACACACACACACACGCACGCACGCACGCACGCACGCACGCACGCACGCACGCACGCACGCACGCACACACGCACACACGCACCAAATAAATAAGTGCAATAAGAATTAACAAAGCAGAGGAGAACAAGTGAACAAAGCCCTTGCTTTTACTTCCCATGGTGCCCAAGGAGCTCCAGGAAGGGGATCTCCCAGGTCACAGCTCATTCCATTTTAGGAGTCCTGTGTCCCCAGAGGCTGTGCCTCTATAGAGACCTCACTGCCTGCTCCTGTCCAGCCCTTTCCCGCTCTTTCGCCAATTCATCACTCTGAAGGAGAGGAGAGGCCAGCAGGACTCGGCTGGCACTAACGCACTTCTATTTACGAGTAATGATTTTAAACACAAGATGGGATTAGTCTCTGACGAAGAGGTCAGGGAAGAGCAAATCTCTCATCAAGAGGGATGCTGTTTCTCCCAGCGGAAACACAAGTGCGTGGATGTGCCTGGCTGAGGAACAGCAGGTGGGATAGGGAACATACCCTCAGCTACCTGTCATCTTTTCCCACGGCAATTAATCGAGGGTTGGATCCAGGTGCAGCCAGAATGCCAACAGAAGATCTGGGAGCTATAACAAAATGGGTCTCAATGCCGTATCTCACATACAGGTGTTTAGCTGATGTTGCCTGAAACCTGAGAGCAGATCTCACAGTCCTGTGTCCAGGGCAACAGGACGTGGGGGCACATTTGCCAAATTTTCTTTTTTTTATTTCAGGTACATACTTTTTCATTTTTGGTATGTGTGCATGTTGTGTGTACCCATATGTGTGTGTGTGTGTGTGTGTGTGTGTGTGCGCGCGCGTGTGTATACATGTAGGCCAGAGGACAATCTCAGAGGTCACTCCTCAGGGGCTGACTTGTTAGCTTCGATAGTGAGTACCTTTACTCTCTCTGGACCAATTATATTTTTGGTATTAGGCAGGGAGTCCTTGGCCTTGAGCATGCTAAGTGGCTAGGCACACAATTTCCCATGGTGCTATAATCTCAGCTTCCTGGGGGTATTTTCAATTTCTGAACCAGAAGTGGAAACTCTTCCATTCTTCTGTTGCTCCTGATCTTAAGTAGGTCACTGACCGTCCTTGGATCACAGCTTTGTTCTGGACACAGCAGAGCCAACTGGACAGAGTTTGTACTGCCCAGCATCTGTAAAATAACATGATTCTAAAGAGCCGGGCAATGTTTACACAGGAAACTGCCGAGCAGTTTGGCTTCAGTTTACAGGGAATGACAGACTCTTTCTCAGGGGACCTCGTGTAAGGAGCACGCGCAGTGAAAAAGTCACCTCGCTCCAGCCTTCTGGAATGAGACTGCTGTTTGCTTACACCTTGGTGACCCTTTACACTTTTGTGTGTGTGTGTGTGTGTGTGTGTGTGTGTGTGTGTGTGTGTTGTGGAATGATGGCTCAGTGGTTAAAAGCACTGGCTATTCTTCTAGAGCACCCAGGTTCAGTTCCCAGCACCCACACGGATCTGACGCCCTCTTCTGGCCTGTTCTGACACGCACATACATGCATACATACATACATACATACATACATACACACAAGCCAAACACTCATACAAATAAAAAAAAAGCAAATCTCAAGAAAACCTTTTAAAAGTGTGTTTATCATTTGTGTATGTGTGCGCACAGGACATGACTTGCCTGTGGAGGTTGGAAGACAGCTGCGTGGCGTCAGTTCTGTCCTCTCACATTGCAGGACCGTCCTCGGGTTACCAGGCTTGTGCAGCAAGCACCTTTACCGGCTGTGTGACCTTCGAGGCAAGCCCTGGAGGATGTCCACCCTGGCAGCTCTGCTGTCCCTCGCGGGTCCTTTGGCGCCATGCTCTCCCCTGCCACTGCCAGAGCTGGACACAGAGTCTGGGTGTCAGGCTCATGTGGTCAGAGAGGACCTGCTTGTCAGAGTCTCTTTGCCAAACACCCTTCTAAACCCATCTTCACCCAGGTCACCCGCCTCCCTAGCATGTAAACGTCAGGGACGGCATCACCCTAAGGCACCCTCCGGTCTAACCAGTCGTAGCTAGGGTTGTAGGATTGGGCTACACAACACATCAAGCTTTCCAGAGAAGGAACCATTGGCGGCCAGCTCTTGGAAGTGGCCCGTGGGCATAGTAGATGGCTTGAAAATCTATGCATCAGTCTTCAGCTTCTACCCCTCACTTCCGTGTGGCTTTAGAGAATTCCCATGCGATACTCCAACTCCACCCAGCAAATGCAGCCACCCAAGTTGTTTCTTCTCGGTGAGGGAAAGCAGAATACATTAGACTGCCAAAGGATACAGAGGGGTTTGGCTCTGAAGTTGTTAGAAATCCTATAGATGAGGAAGCGGGAGGCTGGAGAAGGTTAAACAGCTTGTTAACGGGACCTCATTTGTTATCGGGATTCCAGCCCGAGGTTGCTTCCTTTCTTCAGGGTTTATGCTCTACCAAACTAGCTTACGTGGGGACAGCCTCTTCTCTGGGGCTGGTGAAATGGCTATTCCTAGACCAATTTCCACTGAAGCAATACCATACAGAAAGGCATGTGCAAGCAAGCACAGCAGAGCAGACAATTCCCTGGAAGTCTAAGGCAGGAGGATTCCGAGTTTGAGGCCAGTTTGAGTTATGCAGCATTCCAAGCCATCCTGAGATATGTAGAGAAACTCTTTTACAAAAAAGGAAAAAGTTTACCTTCATTCATAGCAACTTATGGACCTATTTCTAGCCTTGGAAGCTCAGGGTGTTTTTCTCGCTTGGTTTATAGGTTGTCAAGCCCAGGTCATGCACTTGGAAAGTGAAAGCCAGCCACTTAGAGCTCCATCATGCTGATGGGTGAGGGGATGATGTAAGCTACTTCTGCTCCTGAGTGCACATCTCCTGCCTGACCTTTGATCCAAATCAATTAAGCAATGAAATTATGAAACCTCACTTCTGATCAATACCTTCCGTCCAGAGGGACACTGTGCTGTCCTTACAGACTATTATTAGATTGGGTTTGGAATGTGAACTGCTGCATCATGTAGAATTAAAACAAAATAAAGCAAAAGGAAACACTTAAAAAAGCAAAAAAATCTCCATGGCCTCTATTGTAACCCAAGATGGCCCAGACCTGGTCATCCTCCTGCCTCAGCCTCCTGAGAGCTGAGAAGACAACCATGCTCCAGTGTCGTCGTCGTAAGTCAGCAGCTCAGCATTCAAGAAGGAACTAGAGGGATCCGCAAACAGTAAACAGAGTTAGGACGGGGTGGGGCATTTGGAATTAATGAGTTTATCCAAACATACTGCTAGCTAGTGGGTGACCAGGCCTTGCACATTTGAGGTATGTGGAGGTCACCAGAGGTTTTGGTTTTTCTAATTAAGCCACAGCGGTGAGATGGAGCGAGCCATCTGAAGGACAGAAGGCCTTTTCCTTGCCTTGAGTATCCTCATAACCCCTCAAGGACCCTCCTCTACTGTTCTCCTAATCTTCATTTAGTCTGAGTTCTAGTCACAAAAGGCTGTTTAATACTTTTCTACACCCAGCGAGGTGACCATCCTCCTTCTTTGTTCTATTACTAATACCTGAATTCCTTATGTTGAACTAACCAACCTTGGACTGTCCGTCCAGGCAGTTTGGAGACTCGAAGTGTCCAGAGGTAGCTCAGTCATTTGCATTTTCTAGGTGACTAAGGACCCTCCATGTATTTTCATGTCCTCATTGGCCATTCACACATTCTCTCTCATGAAGGCACTTCAAAGTGGTCATAATTCTGAATTAAGTGAGCCTTACATACTCTAAATTTACAAGGTCTTTGACAAGTTCATTGTGAGGCCCTCGCTGCCAAGCCAGATGACCTGAGTTTGTTCCCCACGACTCACATGGTGGAAGGGGAAGAACTGACTATCAGAGACTGTCCTCTGGTCTCCACACACACACCAGCAGGGACCCACTGCCCAGCCCACGAAACTGAAAAAAATATTGTGACTATTTTCTTCCATTTGAGTAGTTGCCTCTAATTTTCCTAACCACATTATATGAAAAGCACATTTTTAAAAGTCCAGTTATGAGTGTTTCTTTTATAGTCTGAGCTCTGAGGAGTATCTTTTCATGTAAAAGCGGCAAAGCCGATCTGGTTTCTTCTAGATACCCTCCAGTTTCAGGTTTTAGACTTAAAACCGATTCACTTCAGATTTTCGTTGTTTATGTTAATTTTTTCCAATTGCACATGCAATCTTGCCAGCATTATTTGTTGAACGGGTTCCTCTTTCCTGACTGAGCTGGCCTGGCTTCCTTGTGGCTCCCTTGAACATGCACACGTGGCTCTTGGTGTAGGTCTCCCTAGTCACCAGCCGGTAACTATAGGATGAAGCCTTGGAAACAGGAGCAAGGGTCCTCCAACTCTGTTCCGACAATTCCACTATCTTCTAGGTCATTTGCATTTCATGCATTTTAAACTGTCAGTTTCTAAAACCTGCTGCAATTTTGATTTGAATTGTGTCTGTCACATCTATGGTAGTCCTGGGGCCTGAACTCTTGACCTGGTGAATAGTGAACCCTCTATACCGAGCTATGCATCCTCAGCTGGCTTGCTTTCTTCAGAGAGGGTCTCACTGTGTAACCCAGGCTGGGGTGTCGCCTTCACAAACACAGTCTACCTTCTTTGAGACAGAGTCTCTGATTGGTTTGGAAATCACCAATTAGGCTGCCTGGCCAGGAGACCTAGGGATTCTCCTGGCTCCTCCCCTAGAACTGGAATTATGAGAGTGCATTTTTTTTGTGTGGGTTCTGGGGATCAAATTGAGGTCCTTGCCAGGCTGGTACTTCACCAGCTGAGCTCTCTCTGCCTCCCCCACCCTCTCTCACCAGCGATTTTCTGAAAAAGTGATACTGGTCTCCTAAGACGGACCAGCAGCACTTTCTTTTTAAAAGAGCATCTTGTGAGATGGGTATTTCTTTCTTAAATGATTGACAGATTGACTGGCAACACCCTCTGGCCCTGGTTTTCCTTGTGAGGCGGTTTTTAATTCAGGGCCATTAAGACTTCTGTTTTTCTTTTGTGACACTGAGTATGGAGCCTAGTATTGAGGTCTTGTGCTCAAGAGGCAAACACTCTACTTCTGAACTACACCCAGCCCCAGCCCCAGAGCTTCAGTTCTGAACAGAAAGGTTTCACTGGAAGCCCGCCCGCTGTGAACTCCTGATGTGCTCATGCAGGTGTGAAGCAGTGACCGCTGGCAGGACAGATGGCTGTTGACTTTCCTTCCAGTGGCTGTGCGTTTCCCTGATTCCTAACAGTTCACGACACATGACTGGAAATGATGACCTCTAGTTCCCACCCCCTAGGTAGCCCGTTGTTATCTAGTTTCTTTTCGGTTCCTTCTTGGCAAATTGCATCCCTTGACCAGACACAAGCTCTTTGAGCCGGGTGGGGCCATGCTCACAGTGCTTACACTGAGGCAGTCGGATGTGTGTCAGGGTACAGAGGGCAGCCAACACCACTGGGCAAAGTTCTGCACGCGTCTCCGCACCAGGCCCAAAGCTATACCCAGCTTACTCAGTAGCTATTCGAAGGCCAAGGCATAGGCCCCAGAATCACTTTCTGTCTCTGAAGGTGCAGGTCATGTGACAGAAACAAAGTGTGGTGGACTTGGGCATCATGAGACCTGTGGTTGAGAGCCATTAAGTGTGTTAATCCAGGTATGGAATGAATGAACGTTAAAGTACTACAAACACCACATAAAGTACCACATGAGACCAAGTTCAGATCAACTGTGCCTGTAGAAACGAGAGGGTTTCTGCCAGCAGTGGGAGCCCAGCCTCTTGAAGGGGATCAGCGGAGGGTGGGGGTGGGGAGACGGGGTTGGGGGACAAGAGTGTACCAGGAAGTGAAGCCGCTCAAAACGGCACCACCTACATGTATGCAAATGTCATCATGGAACCCATTATGTATAACTAATATATGCTAACAGAGAAAAGTAAAAAGCTGCCTGTGTGTGGGGAGCATGCGCCACAAAGGCCAGTGTCAGGACAACAGGTCAGCAGCCAAAGGACGCCTTTGTCCTCCATGTCCCCCTGCTCAGCTCCTCTGGTCCTTTATCCCTGCTCCTCTCAGCCATGTTGTCCCGTCATTCAGAAGACCCAAATCACATCTGCCCTTGCAAAATAAGCCTGACCTTCAGACTTTGCATCCTCGCCACATCTCACATCCCAATCCACAGCTCGATAAAATAAGACTTTAGACTTGATGTTCAAGTCCAAAAGGATGCACTTGAGAGCGGAGTTTGGTTTACCACGTCAGGCAGTGGCAAGAAGAATTTTAGAAGCCGAGCAGCCGTTACTTAGGGGCTTATTAGGACATCTTCACCACAGGGACGATAGGACGGCTCAGTGGGGGGAGGTGCTCGCCGTCAAGTGGACGGCCAGTACGAATCTCTGGACCCTAATGATGGAGGAGAGAGTGACTCCGCAAGTGTACAGTGTGGCACACATGTGGCCTCCTCCCAGAATAAAAAGTGTAATTAAAAAAAAAAGACTTCCCCCAAATAGATGGCATGTCCTTCAGGGGCTGGACCAACTCTGACATTATATTTTGTTTTCAATCGGTTCCCTGAACATTAAGAGTACAAATAAATTCTCTGAGACGTTTTGTTGGTATAGATTTTAAATTACAAGCTTGATTTGACACCCTCAAACACAGTTCTTAAGAAGGCTAGTTATAAATAGTTGTCAGCACTTTCAGATGAGAGGAGAAATGGTACCTCAGTACAGTAGATGAGCTCTTTATGCATGGGATAACGTCCTCTCCTCTCTAGGTGGGATGCTCCAGTTCATGCAGTAAATGACTATGACATTTTCAAAGGTGCCCTCGTGTTTCTAGGTGAGATTTCATGCCCACTTAAGTCAAGCGGTCAGCCTACTCCTGATCACTCTGTGGTCCCTGAAGTTGGTGACCTCCCCAGCTCCTCTGACGCACAACGGGGCCCCGGTTAGACAGGTGTCAATTCGGGCCCTTCTTTTGATGATGGCTCCTGGGAAACCTTGGGTTCTAGAAAAGTGGCCAAGGTGGCCGAGAGGTAAATATAACACCAGAGGTCATACAGGACTCTGAGTGACCTAAAGTAGGCAAACAGGAGGAAGATTTTAACTTTTCTGGATATAAAATTGTCAGAAACAAGGGCCACCAAGTCCCTGCAACTAGAAATCACGAGGGTGAAACACGTTTGTGTATCATGCGGAGGCCCGTACAGAATCCTCACTAACGGCTTCCACAGAACCGCTGCTCATGGCAGAACCAGGACAATGGGACCTATTTTACACATGATGTGAATACAAAGTCTTCAAATTTATAATAGGACATTAAAATAATCTTCTGATAAAATCAGCCTCAGGTATAAGGAATCTAAATTTCAGTATTCTGTATACTTCTAAATAAATAACTCTGATCTATAACCATTGAAAATATTACAGTTTATGGTGACATGATAAGAGATAAGCCACACAGTATTATAGTAAAAATAAAATGTCAATTTAAAAATAAGCTAAAATATATGGAGCTGAAACAATAGAAATCAAAACACTGAGTATCTAATTAAATAGGTAGCGGTGAGATGACCAAATACATGCTCAGCCACACACTCTCAACTCATACAAAAAGCCCTTTAAATTCACAAGATCCAAATAAATAAGCAGAAACACAAAGGAAGGTACTGTGCCAGCCAGTAACTACAAAGCAATTTCTCTCTTTTCCTTCCAAATGATTCTAACAAAGAAAACAGAACATAAAGATCACTTGCTAAAAAACTATAATTCATGATTTTTAAAAAAAGATGTTGCCTAGAATACAAAAAGTCAAAGCAAGGCTTCCTAAACATTAGATCACTGTACCGTAAATAAGGAAAGGCCACCTAACGACAGATTTAAACAGAACTGGACATTTAAACTTGTCTATTTAAGGTATGATTGAATTTCCGCTTCATGACCCAATGACAGGGAACCAAAATGAGTCTGTGGTAGGAACACACATTCCACACACCCGAGTGTATGCCCTGTAACTACTCAGTTACACGTGGTGTCCTGCTTCATTTAACTGAGTAAGGGTTTACCTTACATGAACACCCATACACTAGGAACCACCCTTCACTTGGACTCCTAGTCTTAGTTCCAGAACGTAATAACTGCTCAGTAAGTCTCTCTTGAGCGGTGGAACCAGGATGCATTGCTTCAGGCAGCATAGAAGCCACAGCGGAATCTCACCTGAGACCTGGGAGTTCTGTCATGGTGCCTTCGGGCCTGTCAAATTCATTGCCACAGATCCGCCCCTCAAGGGCCAATATTCCTACGGTTTATCTAGTTCACAGGGAAGCCTTCTCCAGAGATGTGTGTGTGCCTGCACATTGTAGTCAAGTTAAAAGAATAAAGGTCATCTTTGTACTCTAGGCTGGATATCCGCGTGTGGTAACTGCTTCAGACATACACGCACCCACACAACCATTTCACAAATGGAGAATTTAGAGTAATGCCCAAAGCTTAAATTATACAGCTCCCAGATTAACTAAAAAATGGCATTGGAACCATAAGGTAACTCTCTCTGATTACAAAGAAACGTATTGCGTGGTGGTGGTGGGGGCGGCGGCGGGGGGAAGCAATGCCTATGGAGCAACAACTGTAAACCGGGAGTGTCCTTCAGGCTTGCACGACGCTGCCCAGTGTGCTTCACTGCACAAGCAAGCAGCAAGGACAGGCGTGCTCTCCACGGCGCCTCCCCTCCGTCCCCAGCGCCTCCACCAGCATCAACCTTCTTCCGTGCATCATCATTCTGACAGTTCTCTGGGCTGCCTCTGAAGTTGCTGTTTCTAACGTCAGTCGGTCCTGGGGTCCTTGCTGCTGGGGAGGGGGAATGTTGCGTGACTCCTGAAAGAAAAGCTGTTTGGGAAGTCTGCATCGTTGTCTGTCTGTCGGCACGCCTGTCCCCCCTGCTGCTAGGAGAGGTAGACCCAGTGTTTGAGCCCCGCCACCCCCTGCAGCAGCTTCGTGTAATAGAAGTCCATGTTGTCGGCAAAGTCTGTACAAACAGGTGACTCCATGTCACCCAGAGTGCAGTAGAGTGCAGTTCCTCCAACACTGAGGAAAACCGTGGCTATGCACAGCAAGACGAGCAGGATGCAGGAGCCACTGCTGACTTCATCTGCAAACGAGAGAACAGGGGTCAGACAGCGTCGTCACACAGCGTCACACAGCCCTAGTCAGCTCAGTCTCCACCTGCTCTTCCTCTAACCGCAGTTCTCTCTGCCTGCTAATCCATGCCAGCAACCTGGTTTATGTATCTCTTCCTGCCTCTTCTTCATACTGTGAACAGTCAGTCCTCCGCATCTGTGGGCCAAACAGGCTGAAGAAATTTTATCCGTACGAAGCATGCACTCTTGTCTCATTGTATTCCCTTAAACAATACTGTGTAACAGTGACTTACAAATAATTGAAACTCATGAGATAGTATATGCAGTCTGGATGACTTCAACTGTGGAGCCAACTCTCTGACCCAAGACACCATTTAACAAAGAATAAATAGCTGGGCGTGGTGGTGCACGCCCTTAATCCCAGCACTCAGGAGGCAGAGGCAGGAGGATTTCTGAGTTCGTAGCCAGCCTAGTCTATACAGCAATTTCCAGGACAGCCAGAGCTGTTATATGAGAAACCCTGTCTCAAAACAGGCAGAAAAAGGAACAAACAGAAAGAAAACCAAGTATGCAGGAAGGACTGGTGTGGTGGTTTGGCTGGTAAAGGACTTGGCTTGCAAGCCTGATGGCCTGAGTTCAGTCCCTGGAATTAATTAATGTGGAAGAAGAGAACCAGCTTCCCAAAGCTGTCCTCTGACCTCCACGCATACACTGTGGCACAGGTGTGACTGCAGTCATCACCATCCAGGCACACAGGGGGTGTGAACAGTCTATGAAAACAATGTGCCGTCTCAGATAAGGGTCTTGAGCATCTGCAGATTTTACTATTCCCGAGCCTTGGGTCCTGTAGTACATGGAGGTACATTTTAATACCACTTGGGTATTTGAAAGTATCTATTTTGTTTAAATACATTATGAGCTGGGGTGGGAACAAGCCATGAGTGGCTGTGACTGATACCAAAAAGATGCAATGTGAACGTGAAATAGATTCCAGCTTTGGAGGCCTGAGTGTGGGAAAGAGGATGTGAAATATCTCACCAGCAATTTTCCCACACTGATCAATCACATGGTGCAATCCTTTTGATACACTAAGTTAAATGAGCACATTTCATAGATTTTTACTTTTGTTATGTGGCTGCCATAAAATGTAGAAGCACCTATGAGGGGCTAGAGAGATGACTCGGTGTCTAAGGCACGGATTATTCTTCTGGACGACCCAGGTTCGAGTCCCAGGCACCATGTGATGGCTCACGACCCTCTGCAACTCCAGTTCCAGAGATCCTGACGCCCTCCTCTGGCCTCCTCAGGTACTGCACACATGTGGTACACGGGCACACATGTAGCAAAACACCCATGCACATAAAAAAAAAAAAATCACCTATGAGCGTCCACATTACACTTCTAGGACACAGTATGATGAGTGGAAGGATGGGCCTCTTCAGGGCGCTGCGGGCAGGTGGTGAGGTTTGTACCTACACACGTGTAAGCCTTACCTAAAGGTTTCATGACTGCTGAGACCGACTGACACACTCTGTCCACCTGCTTTTCATCGTCCTGAGACAATGGCAGAGCAGTGACTATTATTTTGTATTTTGAGGAGGATCAAGCTGAGGAACTTGATGAAGAATGAGGGGGCCTGAGCGTTCCAGACCCTTGTGCCCTTGTGTGTGGTCAGGATGGAGGACTCCACAGGGGTGGGGGTGGGGTCTGGAGGCTGTGCTGGTTACCACAAGATGCTTGGATAAAAATAAAGCATTCCCAGGGCCTTTCAGCTTCACAGGTGAACACCCTAGGCAGCTCTCCCGCTGTCTTAGAAACACAGTTCAGTGTTCACGCCGCTGCTCAGTGCACAGAGAGGCACATGGACAGGCCCTGAGCTGGTTTCCACTTCCCTGACTCGATCCTGCCTCAGGTAACTCTGTCTGCAACCACACAAGGCAGCTGTGCTGTGAGAGCGTGGCCTCAGTGCTGGCCAGGGACAGAGGTGCTCAGCGACAGCTGGGCTGAGCAGACGCCCTTGGGAGGTGCTCAGCTTCCATTCGGAGGAGAGACTGCCGCGTGATAAGAGAGGCATTAATTTGTCACTGAAAACAAAATCAAAAAACAAGCTCACTACAGAGAAAAAAAGAAAAGAGGAAAATACTAAGGAAAAAAAACCCGAGGTAAGTTTTAGACTTTGACCACTTCTGGACTGGGGAGACCACAAGGTCAATTTTGCAACTCACTCATTTATTTCAGCAAAAAATGCTTCAAAAATGAAAGCTATAACTCGATTTCTTTCCGTTTCCCTGCCAGAAGACAGAGCAAGTCCACACAGTCCTCACAAAGCCTGCTGGCAAAAATCGGGCCACACGACTGTCCAGCACTCATGGCTGGTGAACCCGGGGCGGGCGCACCTTGATCCAGGTTATCATCTATTTCCTGGAAGCGCACTCTCCGCTTAGCTGGCCTCGGCTGCATTGGGGCAGGATGGTCTCCCATTGCGTCATTCCTCTTCTTTAGGATGGACACCAGCCCTTCTGCAGGAACGGCCTGTGGGAGATCGATCGGGAGAACCGTTACGTTAAGGTGGGTGGGACTCATGGGTGACCTGTCACACATGCAAGCACAGGACGCCTTTCAGTGATTTCTACTCCAGCTCTCTTCACTCAACAATAGGCGCTCTCGCTCTCTCTCTCCCTCTCTCCCCCTCCCTCCCTGAGACAAGGTCTTGTCCAGGCTGGTCTTGAATCCGTGGCAATTTTCCTGCCTTAGCATGAATGCCAGGATTACATGTATGTGCTATGACACCTGGCTCAGGGACAGTATTTAAGACACAAAGACACAAGGCTTAAAATACACGTGGCGGCAAACTTAACATCAAATGAGTTACCTCAGTTCCTCAGGGAAAGTACACATTACTAAGTGATCTCTACTCATAACCTTCTGGGGACTTTTCTTCTAGAATTTCTCTCAGTTTTCTATGACTCATTTCTCTGCATGCAGAGGTAAGGACTATTTGGCCAGCACCCCCTGGTTCTTCTTTTTTCCCCTCAGATAAGGGTCTCCTTCAGCTCATAGCTGAGGATAGCTTGGAACTTGCTGTAGCCCAGGCTGGCCTTGAATCTGCGATCTTCTCCTGAGTGCTATTGCACCTACCCTCACTTCACCCCCGTTTTTGTAAATTTAATTGGAAACTACCCAAATTTTGCATCGCTCTGGGGGGGCCTGAAAGCAGAACTGGGGAGCTGTGACAGTCTGGTGCTTCATGGGAAAACTCTGCATCAGGTACCTTCGCCCCCCCCCCCCTTCTGATTTTCACACACCTCTCTCCTTCTTATACGCCATCTCTGGTCTCAAACCAAAAGCGCTTGCTTGCCATTTATTTAGGAACAAAGGCCTCCAAAGTGCGGGGGAGGGGGAAAGAGGGTCAGTGTGGAGAGGCAGGAGGGGTGTGCTCACTTCTGCACACCCCAGCCGACTGGGAGGACATGCCTACTTGCTTCAGGCCATGGATGATGACGTGGGTGGGCACTGTGGATGTCAGGGGCTGGAAGCTAGGATGGATTGTAATGTCATTTATCCGATCAATGGCATAAAGTACTTAATATGATTTCCAGTTCCAGGCAGCAATCTCGGATAATTACGGATTCCATTAGTTCTTTTTATAATTCAGAGCTTTTAGGAGCAAACGGCTCTAGACAAATAGTCTTCTACCGGGTTCTCTGAACCTGGGTCTATAGAAACCATTATCTTAAAAAAAAAATCAATAATTTAGCAATTTATTCTTTTTATAGGAAATACATATTTCCGATACCCTTATTCTGAGAAAACTCAAGTACTTGACTGACATTAAAAGGCTAAGCACAGGGCTGGCAAGATGGCTCAGTGGGTAAGGGAGCTTGCCACCAAGCCTGAAGACGGGCCTGGGTTTGATCCTTGGAACTCACAGAGTGGAAATAGAGAACCGACTCCCTTCGCACGCACGCACGCACGCACGCACGCGCGCACACACACACACACACACACACATGCTGCGGCACAAGCATGCCCCTCTCAATATAGAAACAAATATAATTGTTTTTACATGGACAAATATGTGCAGGAATAGATTTTTAAACTTTCTTTAGAAAACATTGGAGAACTCCTTCATAAAACAATGGAAAATGATTTTATAAGTACCTTCCTTGCTCAAAATGAGAAACAAAGGCACACTGATAAGCTTGTAAAGAGCAAGGAACGGAGCCGGTGAGAAGGCTGAGGAGGTAAAGCACCTGATGTGCAAGCTTCGAGTTCGATTCCCAGATCCCACCCCTGGAGGAGAGCACTGACTTGGACACGCCTGTGGCGTGTGGGTGTCTGCACTCGGACACAGGTATCACACACACACACACACACACACACACACACACACACACACACACACACGTACACACATACAAAATATGTAAATAAACTTCAAAAACCTTAAAAAGCAGGGGACAGGAAATAGAAATTGGTTTTAATGAAAGACATATAACCAGCAATCTTTGTATTTCTAGAAAGTGTAAAACGAAAGAGAAGAAGCCTCATGGCATCTTCATTATCTTTTTCATTAAACTTTTCTGTTATACGTTCGCCAGTGGTAAACTTACCTACCATAGGAAGCTTTATTTTTGTTTTCATAGAGAGTCTTGCTATTTTCTCAAGCTGGTCTTAAACTCCTGGACTTAAATGATCTTTCTGCTCTGGCCTCTTAATAGGACGGCAGGAGTGCCTACTGCATGCCAGGCAAGGGTTCTACCACAGAGGTGCGTCTCTAGCAAGGAGTTAAGGTGCATCACACTTTGTGTGTGTGTGTGTGTGTGTGTGTGTGTGTGTGTGTGTGTGTGTGTGTGTGTGTATGCAATTTTCAGGAGTTGGTTCTTTCTCTCCACTATGTGGGCTCCTGAGATTGAACTCAGGTCGTCAGGCTTGGCAGCAAGCGCCTTTACCTGCTGAGCCATTAGCCAGCCCTTAAGGTACAGTTTTAACTTAGAAAAAAGAAAATCCTATAAAACAGGCCATGGTGACTCACGTCTTTAATCTCAGCAGAGGTGGGCCGATCTCTGAGTTTAAGGCTAGTGCTATATACACAGAGAAACCCCATCTCGAAAAACAACAAAATCAAAACCAAACAAACAAAACAAGTGTTAAAACCTGCTGAGCAAGCTTGAAGACCTGAGTTCAGATCCCAGCACCCAAGTACACAGCTGAGCGTGTCCATGCACCTGTAACCCCAACACGGGGGTGGGGAGTGGAGACGGGCAGACACTGGGGCTTGCCGGCTGCCTGTTTTGCTGAAAAACAGCAAGTTCCAGGTCCAGTGAGAGAAAGAAAAATAAAGCCAACATCTGGTAGAGGGACAGAAGAGACCTAATACCCTCTTCTGGCATGTACACACAGAGGGACAGTGAGAAGGGTGAGCCCAGGTACACAGTTAAGTGTATCACTGGAATATTAATTTTGCATTTGTAAATTTAAGAAACAAACTATAATCAAATGATGTTGGAAGTAGGTCAGACCGAGAGAAGTCCCCTGGAATGGCACTGCTGGTCTCAGTGTGGCAGCGATCACCCCTACCTTACTTCCAGGAAGGAGACTCTGGCTCTGGAGGCCGTCAAGGGAGGCAAGCCTTATTGAGGGCCGTCTTGTTTCCTTTGGGTGGCAAAGGACTTAGGGAACTTTGGAAGGAGGACAGAGATGGAGTCTGAGAAAGCACTGTGGCATGGGATGGATTCGGAGTCTGCTTTGACTCTGGGCTAGGGTCAGGCCTCCCCCTTCTTCACAGCAAAGCTCTTTAGTTTCCAAGCCTGCCCCACCCCCTCCGGCCCTTTCCTGTCCCACTGTCAGAAGTGAAGGAGATGCTCTTCCATGGTAGGTTCTCCCAGTCTCCTTGGGTATTTTCTCTAGGTTTTTCTTTCTTTTGTGCGTATTTTCTGTTTCCTACGGCACATACACAGGACCAAAGCACAATGGGTCTGAGCACGAGAGATGCAGGCCACGGAGGGCAAATCTTGGATGCAGGAAGTATAATCCTTAGGAAATGCCCTCTGGGTTTTTGTTTTTTTGGTTTATTTTTTTGGTTTATTTTTTGTAATAGTTTGGAACAAAGAGTTTGGACTTACCTGAAACAGAATTCCTACTTCCCACAGCATAGCAGCCAAAATCAGACCTACCCCACCCCAGAATTAATTAATTAATTAATTCCTTCCTTCCTTCCTTCCTTCCTTCCTCCCTCCCTCCCTCCCTCCCTCCCTCTCTCCTTCCTTTCATGGTATGGGGATCAGGACCAGTGCCTTCTCTATGCTAGAAAAAAAAAAAATAAAGAAAATTTAAATCTTCAAAAGAGGTTTATCTGTAAGAGTAAATTTAATTTCCTGTTTTCAATTAGCAAATTGCTTTCTTACCCAAACACTGTATACCCAGCCTATCCGCTCAGAACGTCTGAGCCATAATTACAGTAATTGGTGGCACTCTGCTAGATGCCGGGCTGGAAAACATCCATGTGCAAATAAACAGCTCATCCTGCTCAGCAATCATGGCCACCTTAAACAGCAGACCAGAGTACACAAAACAAAATGGTCCTGTGACTTGGAACTGCAATTCCTGATGGGGAGAAGAGGGCAGAGCACGCTGCGGTACCTTCTCACCAGATTATGGAGGAAATGGACCAAAGTTAGAGCATTTTCATCTGGAACCTCAAAGCGTGTCAATTTTAAACAAGAACACATGCTTGGCTTCCAACTAACTTGACAATGAACGCCCCACAGGCCACACTGGTATACTGTATGTATCTTTTTTTTTTTGTTTCTTCGAGACAGTATCTCTCTGTATTAACAGCTCTGGCTGGCCTCGAACTCACAGAGATCCTCCTGCCTCTGCCTCCTGAGTGCTGAGTGCTGGGATTAAAGGTGTGTGCCACCGCTGCCAGGCTTTATTGTAGGTATCTTGAATGCCAGCAATTTCACTATGGATAAATGTGTGCTTTTAACAGACAGTTCTACACTATGCCATGCTCAGTCCTCACAATGGTTTCAGGCATTATCAGATGAAAAGCCATGTAAAGAGCCCAGGAGCATGACTGAGTTCACACTGCTGGCAACGGGCAGAGTTAAGAACAAACTCATGGTGAAATATTGAGACCTGATCTGTACTGTTAGGATTTTACTATGTGCTGTGTGTATTTGCTACCATTAGAGTGAAATAAATGGAATTTTCAAACAAGTTGTACAAGGCTTTTGGCTTCCCAGAAGTTATTTATATTTTCTACCTGAAATTCTGATCTTTTGTATTCCCCAGTTAGGGGTACTTAACTAACGGCTATTCTTGTCATGGAGGACGGCTGGAAGATGGAAGACCTTTGGCACTTAACTAACGGCTATTCTTGTCATGGAGGATAGCTGGAAGATGGAAGATCTTTGGAAGGAGCAGATTAATGTCATGGCTACCGTCACAGCCAGACCTGGGGGTGACAGTTAATGTGGGAAAGCCATTTCACAGAGGAGCCTGTGGCTTCCTCGGGCCTCCCAAGG